TCCCTTTAATTATCTTTCTTGTGAAAGAATGTGAAAACTTTCATTATGTTTCCAGTATTTTTTTTTTCTTCCTCTCACCCCTAAATTTAAAGTACTTTAGAAAGAAATAGCACAGTTATCAAGGTAAATGCAACTCCTGGCTCCTTGCCTTCTTTCATGGGCTCTACTAAGCAGAGAATTTGTGGAATTTTCTCCTCTCTCCTAACTCCTGCAGACAGCCTTACATCATGAAGGTGTGGGGAGATTCAGTTTTAGACCTTTCTGTCACTCTGACCTACTCATGTATAATTCGAAGAACTGAAGTTGAAGTGAAACAGTTTCTCTGAGAATGCAAATTGCTATACACAATCACTTTCTATTCTGAACAGTTCCTGTGCCCAGAAGGTCTGGCTGCTGTTTTTAGTTCTCAGAACTATGCAAACCCCAGTCACACAGACACTCAGCCTGAGGAAAGAGTGTTTCTGAGTGTGCTTCCTTTAAATGGTTTTCCTTGCTAGCCAGTGTGAACACGCCTGGCTGTTTTGTGGCTCCCTTCTGGTCTCAGTTCTCCTTTTACCTGTTTAGGGCCAGACTTTATGATAAATTTGTGTTCATCACAGAACACTGGTTAGCATGGCATTATGGATTTCTTAAAATATTCTGTCGGCTCTTGTTCTCCATTACTCATGTTTCTTTTAGATCTGCTACCACAATTGCCCAAAGTTTATCATGTTGTATAAAGAAATTTAAATTCTCATTAAAACAAAAATATATTTATTCTTTATATTATATAAACACTGGTTAATCTTCTGCATTTCTTTTGTAAGATTTTTGAATATAATGTGCACATTCAGTTTGAATGTGGCGTTTTAATAATTGTACTTAGGAAAATCTCATGGATTACATGATCATTATAAATTTATCTTTTGTTTCTAACAACCATGCTTCTCTGTGCCCAGCCTACTCCTCCAAAAAAAAAAGAAATTAACTCCTTGGTTTTAAGTTTCCCAGCCTGAGCAACAAAGTAAAACCCTATCTCTTTTTTTTTTTTTGAGATGGAGTCTCGCTCTGTTGCCCAGGCTGGAGTGCAGTGGCATGGTCTTAGCTCATTGCAACCTCCACCTCCCAGGTTCAAGTGATGCTCCTGCCTCGGCCTCCCAAGTAGCTGGGGTTACAGGTGCCTGCCACCACGCCTGGCTAATTTTTTGTATTTTTTTTTTTAGTAGAGATGGGGTTTTACCATGTTGGCCAGGCTGATCTCGAACTCCTGACCTCATGATCCCTGTTAAGTTGTTTATCCTAAATTTTGTTTGTCTAGTCTTAATGGTTTATGTTCCTGATTATAGTTTGAAAGCTGCCTTTATGAGAGTGTGTATATGCCTGTTTTCTAAAGTTTAAGATACAATCTTTTTGGCCTTTGAGTCAAAATTTGAGATTTCTGAAACCCCAAATTTGTGTTTGACTTTAACTCACACAGACACACTGAAAACACTGTTCTTTTTGAAATCCAAACTTTAAAATAGGGTAAGTTTTGAAGGTGATTTTAAGGCCAAGCACAGTGGCTTGCACCTATAATCTCAGCACTTTGGGAGGCTGAAGCAGGAGAATCACTTGAGCCCAGGAGTTCAAGACTAGCCTGGGCAACATAGCAAGAGCACATCTGTACCAAAAAAATATAAAAATTAGCCAGGCATGGTGGCATACACCTGTAGTCCTAGCTACTCAGGAGGCTGAGGTGGTGAGATCACCTGAGCCCAAGAGTTTGAGCCTGCAATGAGCTATGATCACCACTGTACTCCATCCTGGGCAGCAGAGACAGACTCTGTCTCCAAAAACAGTGGTATTTTAAATAAAATATTTACTATGCTATTAAATAGCCAATTCTTCAATTATACAAAAAAATCAACATGATTTAAAATCAACTGTTTAGGAAAGCATCTATGGTATAAAGATATCCATGATGATAGTGAGCTGAGTACGTAGTTCATTCTTCAGTATATGAAGTTACAGTGTGAGTTTATCAGAATGAGTAACTTAAAGAGAAATTGTGTGTCTCTTTTCCTGCCTTTTTAAACGTAAGAAACTCTAGAAATATTTTTTGTTTAAAGTTCTGGTAGATCTGTTAAGTGATTTTTAAATAATTATTTTTAGAGGTTATATATTTGGGTTTTTTTGTTTGTTTGTTTTGAAACAGGGTCTTGCTTTGTCACCCAGGTAGGAATGCAGTGGCACAATCATGGCTCACTTCGGCCTCAATCTCCTGGGCTCAAGAGATCCTCCCGCAGCCTCCCAAGTAACTAGGCCTAGAGGCATGTGCCACCATGTCCGGCTAATTTTTCTATGTTTTGTAGAGACATGGTCTCGCTATGTTGATCAGGCTGGTCTCAAATACCTGGGCTCAAGTGATCTCCTCACTTCAGCCCCCCAAAGTGCTGGGATTACAGGCGTGAACCACTGTACCTGGCCAGAAGTTATATTTTTTAAAACTCCTAAGTCCAGTGAGATTATTAAATACAGTAGAGCTTATGTTAAACAAACATTACTATCTTAGTCTGATGAGTTTTGGTCTCAAAATTCACGTAAGAATAAAACTACTTAGACTGGCTGCAATGTCTTATGCCTGTAATCTGAACACTTTGGGAGGCCAAGATGGGCAGATTGCTTGAGCCCAGGTGTTCAAGACCAGCCTGGGTAACATGGCAAAACCCTGTCTCTACCAAAAATAACAAAAATTAGTGGAGCATGGTGGTGGGTGTCTGTGGTCCCAGCTATTCAGGAGGCTGAGGTGGGAGAATTACTCGACCCCGGAGGGAGAGGGGGAGGTTGCAGTAAGCCAGATCTCGCCACTGCACTTTAGCTTGGGTGACAGAGTAAGACCCCATCACAAAAAATAAAAAGAATAAAACTACTTTTGTAACTGTGGAGAAATCTGTGTGTCTCAGGAACTCTTCCTGATGGACTTTGAGTTACTGTGTGATTTGCATGTGTAGAAAGTCACTAGATTGGACACTTCCATTTACAGCTAGCGTTCAGGGAGGTCACCTCAACTTCCCAAGTCTCCTTTGTCTCTGCGCATTAATGAGCCAAAAATCCAATTGTTACTATAAACAAATTGATATACATTGTAAATATTTGAAGCAAGGATGTGTTCAGACTTTTCTCTGAACATTTCATCTCTCAGTTAAGCATTGAAGTAGAAAAGGGGAAAAAAATTTACTGGGTTTTTTTGTTTTGTTTTGTTTTGTTTTGTTTTGTTTTGTTTTGTTTTGTTTTGTTTTGTTTTGTTTTCGGAATAACCTCTAGTGATTTTTGAACACATGGCTCTTAGGCAATGTACTGTGAGTTGATTTTACAGTTCTAACTCAGGAACAAAACACACTATGAGATTAAAGCCTTGGAAGGATTACATGAATTTACTTTAAACTTCTTATTGGACACTGAAGGAATTACTACTATGTGGAGAAAAAATGAGTCTCTAACAAAGTGGCAAGTTACTATTAACGGTTGATTTTAGTCAGCTGTTTTTGTTTGGTTATCTGAGAAGGGAATACAGGTACCATGGAAGTAGAAATAGACAAGAAGTTTATAGCTCCAAAAATGATTATGATCTCTTTGGGCAGATAGAACATGCTTTTTAAAATCATAATATATGTACTTAATCCAGAATATAGTCACCATCTTATATTTGTCTACTTACAAGATTACATAGAAGAAAGAAATGACCGTTAAGAAATGATTATCTTTAAAGATTTATTTAGATAGTGGAAAAAATCAGAGTGTGATTTACTTAACTATGCACTTCATTATTTTCTTTTTTTTTTTCTTTTTTTTTTTTTTTTTTGAGGTGGGGTCTTGCTCTGTCACCCAGGTTGGAGTGCAGTGGTGTGATCTTGGCTCACTGCAACCTCCACCTCCTGAGTTCAAGCGATTCTCCTGCCTCAGCCTCCTGAATAGTTGGCACACACCACCACGCCCACCTAATTTTTGTATTTTTAGTAGAAGAGGGGTTTCGCCATGTTGGCCAGGCTGGTCTCAAACTCCTGACCTCAGGTGATCTGCCCACCTCGACCTCCCAGAGCGCTGGGATTACAGGCCTGAGCCACTGCACCCGGCCCACTTCAATATTTTTATCAGTAAATTAGTATACTTTAGAGTTGTAGTGATTAAAATAAAACATGTAAAGCATATAAGCAGAATGCTTAGCAGACAGCAAGTGCTAAGCAATATCTACTCACAGTAGTAACAGGATCTATGAATAAGATAGTATTTTCTGCTCTACAAATGAAGAAATTAACACATAAATAGGATAAGTAATTTGCCTAAGATTGTTCAGCTAAATAAAAAGTAGAACCAAGATTGAACCCAAGAAGTATAACTTCAGAGACCAATCTCTTAACTGAGATACTATTACAATCACTTATTATTCATTCATTTATTTCACAAAAAAATTAACTGCCAGGTACTGTTTGTCACTAATAACATTATTTATATTAAATACAGAAGAAAATATGCACAATGTGATGAAGATGGGCATATAATGACATAGCTTTTTACTTTAATAGTCTAATTCAAATATTTAAGCATTTTTATAAGTAACATCTGCTCTAAAAAATAAAGAGTCAATGAATATTGCTTCTCCCCAATAACATGAGCCAGATAATTCCAAATAAATAATGTGTTTATAAAACCTTGGAATTTTTCACTGTATTATTTATTTAGATAAGACTTGAGTGAAGCTATTTCTTTCTTTTTTTTTTTTTTTAAACTTATTTTTTTGTTTTGTTTTGTTTGAGACAGAGTCTCACTCTGCCTCCCAGGCTGGAGTGCAGTGGCGTGATCTCTGCTCACTGCAACCTCCGTCCAGGGCTCAAGTGATTCTCTTGCCTCAGCCTTCCGAGTAGCTGGGATTACAGGTGCCCACCACCATGTCCAGCTAGTTTTTGTATTTTTAGTAGAGATGGGGTTTCACCATGTTGGCCAGGCTGGTCTTTAACTCCTGGCCTCAAATGATCTGCCCGCCTTGGCCTCCCAAAGTGCTGGGATTACAGGCATGAGCCACTGCACCCAGGTACTTATTTTTAAAGATTTTTAAATTGCCAATAAACACTGGCCATAGATTGACTCTTGTATTCTAACTACCAGAAAGCAGACAAGTCATAAACCATTTGCTTCTTTATCCTAGTCATGAAATAACGTGTTCTGAACAGAAGCACTCACAGTTGAGTTTAAACAGTAGTCTGTTAGTTTCATATGAGTGGGATCCTTTCAATATGCGTAATTTTTGCCTCTGAAAGTTTCTGCCATCTCAACTTTCAGTATAAGTAGAACTGTTTTTTGAGTTTTATGAATATATATTTATTTATTTTTAAAAACCAAAGAGATTTTCTTGGTGACTATTGTCATCTAAACTGTGACATGTTAATGATGTAGTTTAACATCCCTAATAAAGTCACAGGAATGCTTTTCTATATTGTGGGTTTTCCATTCAAAAGTCAAGCCTGTGATTGCATATGTGCTGAATTAGACTTTGTAAAGAGATTATACAGTGTCTTCTTGAATGTTTTATCTAATAAAAGAAATATAATGGGGTCTGTGCTACTTCTGGCTGAAGCAAGACAGGTGAGGATGTTTTTTGTTTCTATTAAATAATTCAGTTGCTGACAGTTATCATTTTGCTGTAGAATGTAAAAAACGGGTTTAAAAATACTATAAGGAAGGAAGCAAACTATTAGTACAATCTGGATGACCAAAAGATGTCTTTTCACAGAACTGTAAGTCAAATCTTTCTCCGTAATGGATGTACAGGTCCTTATTTTTCTCAGATGGCTTACAAAAGAGTAGTATGATGTTAGCACTACTAAAAAGGAAAGTCCAATAAATGTGGTTCCAATGAGACCTGCAATCTGAGAGATCATGGCTCCTAGTTCCATCTGCCGATTGTAGCATAGGCTCTCTTCTCCTTCTGTAGCCTCTATGACTGAGTAGTATATGGTAACTGGAATAATTATACCCAGTACAACTCCCCATATATAAATGCATAGTTTTCTAGCAAAGTTGGGCTGGCGAAATTTTTTCAGTAAATGGCCATAAAATATTTTCTCATAGCACGAAGTAGTATCTTGCAAGGAATCCTTTTGCATTAAGGTAGCGTAGCGGCTTATGGCAATCCAACTTAAAATTAAGAGACTGACAAACATACTTACATGCATCGACAGAGTTCCCAGAAAATTGACCACTCTGCATTGAGCAGATTGATATTCCCATTGGAAACCTTTCAGGAAATAGATACCCATGAAAGGCATGGCACTGCACACAAGTAAGTTTGCAGTCACAAGGTGTGCCAGGTAGATGTGCGTTGAGGCTTTTTTACCTATTTTTGTTAAAAATATCCATTGAGAGAGAGAGTTTCCAAAAAGACCAACAACACAAAGGAGGGTGTAAATGATTGGTAAAGCCATGGAAGAGATCATAGATGGTTGAATACATGTTGTGTTGTTGTTCATTTATGTCAGATTTTCTTGAATTTTGACACAGGAGCTAGAACAGAATTGCAGATATTTAATATTAAAATTATTTATGGTACAGTATTTAAGCTTAATAGTTTTTTTTTTTTTTTTTTCTTTTTTTTTGAGACGGAGTTTCGCTCTTGTTACCCAGGCTGGAGTGCAATGGTGCGATCTCGGCTCACCGCAACCTCCGCCTTCTGGGTTCAGGCAATTCTCCTGCCTCAGCCTCCTGAGTAGCTGGGATTACAGGCACACGCCACCATGCCCAGCTGAATTTTTGTATTTTTTTTTAGTAGAGACGGGGTTTCACCATGCTGACCAGGATGGTCTCAATCTCTTGACCTCGTGATCCACCCGCCTCGGCCTCCCAAAGTGCTGGGATTACAGGCGTGAGCCACCGCGCCCGGCCTAGCTTAATAGTTTTTTTAAACATTGAATGAAATAAAATAGTAACAAAAATGTACTAGATGGAATGGGAAAGTATAGATGGCTTCTTACCTTTTCTAATCACGATTGTCCACTTGAAATAAATACAAAAAGTTACTTAATATGATGGATAATGCCTTTGTCTAAAAAACAAAATTTGATGTAAATAATTACATGCCTGGGATTTATGGTTTTATTTAGAGAAATGAATAGTTCTTAGATTGTAAAACAATTTAAGTAGTGTAATAATGACTAATTTTCCCTAGAAATATAATTTTAAAAATTTTAAGGCACATGCAATCAATATATGTTGGCCAAAGTATTACAGAAGTATTTTGTGGCCATAATAATAGACAGTTGACTGGTTTTTAATTAGCACATCACTTATATATAGTTTTCAAAATGGTGTCATTTTGTGGCTAGATTAAAACACTCCTCTATAATGTTTTAAGAGTCTCTTTTCATATTTCAGAAGTTAACTCAATTCCACTTGAACAAAAATTCAGGCAAGATCCTGAATTGAACAGAAGAAAAGTATAGCAACCAAGGACAGACTCCAAAATCCCAGGATCATTACCAAAGAGTATTTAAAATCTCATTTCAAATATTTAATGTTAAACTGTCATACTTCAGTAAAAGTTTACTTTACACATGTATGTCAAAACTGTAGTTGCAGCCAGATGTGGCTTACCTGTAATCTCAGCACTTTAGGAGGCCAAGGCAGGAGGGTTGCCTGAGACCAGGATTTTAAGAACACCCTGGGCAACATAGCAAGACCCTGTCTCTATAAAAAAATGCAAAAACTAGACCAGGTGTGGTAGCTCATGCCTGTTACTCCAGCACTTTGGGAGGCCAAGGTCAGCCTGGGCAACATGGCAAAACCACATCTCTACAAAAAAACAAAAAAATAGCCAGGCATCCTGGCATGTGCCTGAAGTCCCAGCTACTTGGGAGGCTGAAGCAGAAGGATCAATTGAGCCTAGGAGTTCAAGGCTGCAGCAAGCTATGATCATTCCACTACACTCCAGCCTGGGTAATAGAAAGAGACTCTGTCTCAAAAACAAAAAAACTGTAGCTGCTATGCTTGTTGGTTAGAGTGTCCTCATGTATTTTTCAGAGGATTTTTTTTAAAGGATATGATGTTTTAATCACAGCATACATGCTGGTTTTTACTTTTTTGTGTCATATTTAAATCTTTCTCACTTCAAAGGGTACACATGAAGTGCTGAAGAATCTTATATGAATTGCTTCTTATTCTTATTTTTCTACTTATTTCCTCACTTCCTTCAGGCAAGAATAACAAAAGTTACTGGATTCTGGTCAAATAAGACCCATGATCTCTATTCAGAATGTGCCACATTCTCTGTGTTCTTCACTTAGCCTCTGGGCACCACATTCTCCACTCTTTCATGATCTAGAGCAAGGTTTCTCAATCTTTTTTTTAATCATGTTCTCTTTTGATAAACATAAAAATTGTACTATACACAGCCTTTTGAAATTCTTATATTCCCCCAGCCCCTCAGGGCGATTTTACTCTCCATCCCTCTTCAGAATTATGGTTTGATTTATTTTCTGCATCTTGGCCTACAGAAATTGTTTTTTATCCCAAATATAATATTATAATTTTGTAATAGCTTTTTAAACCAATCCATACCCAAAGTCTTGAAAACTTGAAAACTGTGCAGTGTCTGTGGGTTCAAATACCAAGGTCCTTAATTAATGTCTACCAGTGTCTTTATAATTTTCTTTGCTATTTTTATTTAGAAAACAGTCCATATGCTTCATTGTAACTTTGTGTCTGAATCTAGTGCAACCTGGTAAATTGTAATCTGATTGCAATTAATGTAGACCATGGTATAAATATATAAAACCTAATCTATAACTTTACCAGTTCAAAAATCAGTCAGATAGAGAGTGAAATGAGCCAGTTTATTTAAGAAAAAATTATCTGCTCACAGTAGATTTTGATTTTACATAAGGAATTGAGCTTCCTTTTATGATATTGTTAAAAGCATTAACTCCTGCCTTTTGTAAGTATTGCATAGTATACTAAAAACTGCAAAGGTGATGGTGCTTCTGTATAAATATTAAATGCTTTCAAACAAAAGGGAGATAAAAAGACTTCTGCAGAGGCTGGCTTTACCAGACAGAAGTTGAGTCTTTATAGGACTCTCAGTATAGTAATCAACAATTAGGTCACCATCTTTACCTTCCCAAACTTGTATCTACTATGTACAAGTACTCCTACAAAAATAAACTTTGACTATAAAACTACTAGATAATTATTTTCTAAAATTTTCAAAATACTGTTAAGAAATCAAATAAAAATTACATGTTACAGATGCAGAACTGGTCTCCAGAAAATGTCTCTATGTCTATATTCCCCTCAGGAGAATGTCTGTCTCAAGTCACTCTTGCATACATTTTATCTCTGCTAATTTGACAAATGAAAAAGTTCTACAACTCTTAACTACAGCTACTAACAACTACCTACATAATTAATATGCTGACTGCCTTTCTTAATGATCAGCTTTCAAAATTTAAACCATTAGGTTCTGTTCATTTTTATAGCATTAATTTTTCAGCTAAAAATGAATAAATAATCACTCTTACCTGTATGAGTAGTTTACACCAAATAAGGTTATATTGTTAAGGGCAGTGATGCCAAATTTCAGACTTAAAATCCTCTGATCTTCACTCTTCCAATATCCTTAGTCAATGTAAACAGATTCTTGCATGACACCAACTACAGTGGGGCAAAAAGGGGAAATTAAACAGAGTATTGAAAAAAGTCAGTAGTTACAGTCAATATGGTAAATGCCTCCTCAAAAAACCCTCATTTCTCTATTTCTGTAGTGGGAGGAAGTTGGTGGACAATATACATATGATTATTTCATGCACTAGTTATACCCCAGTAAGCTTTGTTTGCACAATTGACTGAAGTTCACAGGTTTAAGCCCCCATGGCTAGCTTTATATGATACAGTGATAGAAGGAACCACTCTGCAGTAACCCACTAAAAATATTGTTGCAAATTTTTCTGTAAAATTGTTTGTGGGTGGCGTATTTGGAATCCATCCTTATCAAAAATAGAAACAAAACTCAAAGTTTTCTTATAACTTACTAGAATCAAATAGAGCTGAAATAGAACTTCATGATCATCTGTGAATTGAGACCCTTTGTTCTAAAGTTGAAGAAGCTGAGGCCCAGAGAAACTCACTGTAAGCACAGACTGCACCAGGGATTGAGTCCCAGTTTGGTTACTAATGAGTTAACTCATTCTGTTTCTAATTGCCCTGCACTACCTCCATTTGTCAACATAATACACTGTTTGGGGCATTTCATAATGGTTTTGCCAAATCCTGGGAAGTGCCAAGTATGCCTCAGATCAAATGAATAGTTATATTATCAAGAATTGTGAAACCATGGCTAGTCTAAAACAATAAAAAATTTTAAAGATAAAAAATAGAGGCTGGGAGCGGTGGCCCATGCCTGTAATTCCAGCACTTTGGGAGGCCGAGATGGGCAGATTACGAGGTCAGTAGTTCGAGACTAGCCTGGCCAATATGGTGAAACTCCACCTCTCCTAAAAAATACAAAAATTAGCCAGGCGTGGTGGCACGTGCCTGTGGTCCCAGCTACTGAGAAGGCTGAGGCAAGAGAATCGCTTAAACCTGGGAGGCGGAGGTTACAGTGAGCTGAGATCACACCACTCCACTCCAACCTGGATGACAGAGCGAGACTCCGTCTCAAAAAAAATAGAATTGTGAAACCAATTTTTTATACAGGATTGTCAAATCAGTCTGTGACCTACTAACTAAATGAAAGCTAAATGTGTACATCTGGGGAGCCAGACTTGCATCAAGCACTCCCTCCCTTTCTTGAGTAGCTAAACCAGTGGGAGTCCGAAAAAGAGAACAGAAATCTAATTTCATCAAACCTGAGCACTTTAGTTATCAGTAAATCCTCACTTAAAATTAACAGAAGTACATTACCATTTCTCATAAACTCCCAATGTTACCTTATTTCATGTTTATTTCATAAATTCTCTCTGATGTTTGGTAATATTTCTCTCCAAAACAAAAGTGAGAACTGCCTACAGTGTCCGGATTGTGTTCTGCTGCTGTTCATCTTTGCCTTACTACCATTTAATTAAGAACAGTGACTCATCATCAAGGTTTACGGGCCATTCATTACAGAGTAATTTGGCTTCTAGAATTTCTATCACTTTTACTTCAGTAATGTATCATATTTGGGAAGGAATTAAATAGAACAGAAACCAGTTTTAAGTAATTTAGAGAATGGAAATGGAATGCTGTTTCTAAGTGATTGAAAGATATTTGTAATATTATCTGTTCAGGCATAAGCATCTTTGGTCCGAATAAAGAACATTCTCGTTTTCCTCCATTGTCTCCAAACTCAGTAAATGATACCATCACTCCTTCAATTATTCAAGCCAAAAACTTGGGAATCATTCTTAATTTCTCTTTCTTTCACATCTTATATCCAATCAATTGGTAGTACTCTAGCTTCTGCTATCACTATACCATTGTTGTATTTGACCGGAGCGTAGAAAGTTATCACAAGACAGAAGTATGCCAGATTGCAGGGTCATTTATTATGCCGGCGACCACAGAGGACTCACGTCTCTCCAACCTGTGGTGGCAACAGGAGGGTGCCACGATTTTTTATACCCGAAAAACCACCTTGAGAGTGGGGTTGAGGGGTGGGGATGGGGATGAAAAGGCTTCAGACATTCCGAGGGCTAGTGGATTCTGTATTACCTCCTGGGCAGAGATGAGGGTGGGGGTCTCCGGACATTCCAAGGGCCAGGGGACTTTTGTCATTCCCTTTGTTACTTAAGTGGTTTACAGAAGTCAAGATAAACATTTGTTTACACATTATCTGGTTAAGGTGGAAATCACAGACCTTAGTTACTTATTACAAGTCACAGGAGCCAGGATGGAACTAGCTTGGGCTGCTTAGTCTGGCAATTGCTGGCAGTTACTGATAAGAAAAGGTAAGCAGCTTTACATAGTTTTGAAGAAAAAACTAGCAGTTCTATTTACAGAGGCCAAGGACAGTAGTTATTGTAAGGAGAATGGGGCAGCCATTTCAACTTATCTAAAAACAGTTTTGCATTTTATAAAATAGTTTTGCTCCGGTTCTGGCTCTAGGCCAGCACAATATCACACCATCATTTATTAGTCACATTTCATGAGAGCTTACTATGTGCCAGATATCTTGCTAAGTGCCTTACATTTCAAGTCTTATATAGTTTTCACAACACCCTGTGAAATAAATATCTCATTTTAAAGGTAAGAAAAACTGAAACTCAGAAAGACCACATAAGTTGCCCAAGGTCATGCAGCCATCTGTCCTCACAGGATGGTAATTGGCTCACCTCATAGCACGTAATTCAAGAACAAGTCCATAGCTTCAATGCCTTTTTGTGATCTAGCCTCTGAAGTCAACACTGTCGCTTCTGCGGTATTCTATTGGTCACACAGAGACAGCCCTGGATCAGTGCAGGTGGTGTAAGTATCAGGATATAATGATCACTGGGAGCCATCTTGGAAACTGGCTACCACAGATGTCAATCAACCATTGAACCAAAGGAAGAGTCAGAAGTACTGCTTAAAAACCATTGTCAGTCCACTGGTCATTTATTGGGCAAGCATACCTGCCTGGATAGGCTATTTTTGTTAAACAGTGTAATTCCTTCGACAAATATTTATTAGAGTTTCTACTATGTTCCCAGCAGCATGTGGAGTCACAGAATTAGGATGTTAGTCACAAGCTGATTTAGGGTCTTTGGAAATTGAACAGATTCTACAAGCAAGCCAAGGATTTAGATTAATATGTGATGTGTGATACAGATTTCAAATGCTCTATGAATTAGAGAAGGGCAGAAACAGTGACTCAAAGTGGTTCTGAAAGGCTTTGTGAAAGCAAATGGAAGGAAAGAGAGCAGAACATAACCTACTGAGTGACAGTTCTATGCCAGGTATGGAACAGAGTATTTTACATCTAAGAACCCTAGAGATGTGTGGTAGGAGTCCCATTTTACACTAGAGGAAATTGAGGCTCAAAGAGATTGAATAGCTTGCCTAGAGGGATACAATTAGTAAATTAGCTTTAAAAAAACCTCCTTCTCTGCCTTAGGAAGAAATTATTTGTTGTCCTTGCAGGTCAATAAGGGTACCCTATGGTACTCGTGATATGATCATGTTTTAAGTATTTTTAACTTTGTTGAGATAGGGTTTCCTGTTCTGATTTATATATTTGTGTATCCTGTTCCAGACTTAAGGTAGCAGAAACTGACTATGGAAGAAATCAAGTTTTTTTCTATCTTTGAAAACTCTGGACTTTGTTAAGCAAATTATTATTCCAACAATGTTAGTATAAATTCTTTATGATTCAGTGATTTTGAGTTCCCCAATTGAAATATAGGTAAATTTTATTTTCATTCTTCTTTTTTTTTTTAAGACGAGGTTTCACCATGTTGGTCAGGCTCGTCTTGAACTCCTGACCTCAGGTGATCCGCCCACCTTGGCCTCCAAAGTGCTTGGATTACAGGCGTGAGCCACCACACCCGGCCCTATTTTCATTCTTCTAAGAAATTAGGAAATATTGCTACAATAGGGAATACTAGATTAATTTCAAGAATAATAAAGTATGTTACAAGTACTCTGTAAAAGTGGCCGCTTTGAACTTTTCTCATTCAGATCACCAGTAGTTTTCTTTGTTTCTCATTCATCTTGCCCATCCATCTCTTCAAAGCTCCCCTTCTATTGTCCAACTTGGCCCAACAGTTCTAGTTGCTTCCTATTATCATCTGCCAAATATTGATCTCCTAAGTGTTCTGCTCTCACCCTTAGGATCTTCTTCCTTGAGGTGTTAGAGTTATCTCTTACAATTGAAGTTCTGTCTTGTGCTAATTTTCCTTCTTTTGAGATGGATTTGTATATCAAGTCTGTTTTTTAATCTGGCGCCAAAATTCATTTGGAGTGGTTCAGTGAGAGTGTTTCAAAGGGCAGGCACATACTTACCTGGCAGAGGAGATACCATGATCAAAGGGCAGGCATATGAACATTTATTTTGGCAGTCCATTGTGGGCTGTACATAGCAGGGGGACATGAGCGCTTTCCTGACTCACATGGATTGTTGGAGTTAGAATTAGGGTCCCTTATCAATTTCCCTAGAGCCAGGACCCAGAGGACACAGGACAGCTTTTAGTCGTACCTGAAGCCATGTGCTTCATCTAGAAATTATTTTAGTCTATCCAAACTAGTGTTTAAACTGGGCAGTTGGCCTTTGTAAGTACTCTCACTGACCAATCAGGAGCTCAAGGCACTGAGAGGCTGGTATGCAGAAAGAGAAGACTTGACTAATTTAGTACACATTAGAATATCATATTCAAAAATAATTATTTCTTTAAAACAGGGGCAGTGGTAAGGAAGCCTTGTCCAGTTCAACATACACCCAAGCCAGTGGTTATCTTTAGGAGGAGTGAGGAACAGTGCAGTTACTCAAAGCTATGGTTTGGTCAAGGCTCACTGAGCCTTCTGCTCTCTCCAGGAAGTGGTGTCTGGCCACAGCCTTATTTCCAGTTGCACTGTTCTCAGGCCCTCACTGTCTGCCACAAGCAGCTGTGATCATTGGCGTCCCACCCTTAGTCAGGGTGTGAAGAAAAACCTCTCCTTGTTCTGAAGAACTGGTTTCTCAGCAAACAATGGGAGTATTTCTCTCAAGAATTATTTTTAAAAACAGCAGGAAATACAGTCTAAAGTTTGTACATTTATAACACAGAAAAGTTATTAACTTTTAAGAAAAGTCTA